ATGAGACTAAGCCGCGTCGATGTTTTTCACACCAAGGAAATAATTATGCCAAAATGTTAAAACCACTTCAAGGGATGTCAAGGGAACAGAAATTAGAATGAAAGATAGCTAACCGTAGGAACCCATGCGGATGTACGGTAGGACCTTTTGGAAGGCATCGCAAAAACCCGATAAGATCCCTCTCCGGATTGCAAGAGGATTATTGGATGCAGGACTGAGAAAGTGCAGTCAGGCTCGTTTTGGGAAGGCATACATTTGCACCTTCTAAGCACCTTTTCCAAAGCTCGCGATTCGATCAGTGACAGAAGATGGTAGTCGGCGTTTTTTTTTTCGTCAAAGAGAACTTGCAAACACCGGGGAATCTCGCCAAGAACGATCGGTCAGTGTGGAAAGAAATTGTCCCTGCATGCCCTTGCCAGTATTTTTATGAATCAAATTCCACCCATGTGGTTGAACTTCTTGGTGTTGCATTATATATCCCGAATAACGTAATCTAACTAATATTGTAGTTTTGGACATGAAACGTCATCAATTTTTCTGTAAGGGGAAAGGAGGGGTCATTTCACGTTTTCAGAAAAGCGAAATTTACCCTCCGATTTTTTATTAAAACTTTCAAAATTGCTGGGTCCATTGGGGAACTAATCCACATCAAATTTCAGCTCCCTAGGACAAGTTCTTTTTGAGAACGATTTGATTCATGCCAAAAGTACTGATTTCCGGTCCAGGTATTTTAAAGATCTTTTTAAGCCCTTTCATATTATGTGTTCCATTGATTTCAAATGCAAAGGCCACTTTGTTTAAATATTTTAATGACATCTTCAATTCTTCCTCTATCGATGTACCAATTTCTATTCGATATGGAAATGGATCAAAAGATACGAACAATAATGCGGCAGTAAATATGATATATATATTCTTAAATACATATCCTATCAGATATACTGTATAAAGTATTATACTTATCATATATTCATATGATATACTTTTATAAAACCTTCTCGAATACTGATGATAATACAATTATCAAGAATGAAACATTTAGTCAGGAATATCTGCATCAACCTACTGCACCTTTGCATCCAGAATATTCATAAAGTTACATTCTCTAAAGATTTTTATTATCACTAACTACTCCATTATTGTTTTTGTCTTTTGACTCAGCCCAAAATTGAAATACAGGTTCCCCAAATGCCAATATACAGTTGCAAGGTATTGCATTCCTTCAGTTATTGGCAATTAATTGACAAAAATTAATTTACATTTTTCAACTTGAACCATCAATTCACCACATCCATGCTTTGAGCCTTGGAGCACTTGTGTTGCTGATTAGCAATTTCAAATTACAGCTCTGTAAACACAAAATTAGGCAACTGTATACTATTTGATGGGGAACCCTGTATAGTACAAAAGAAAGGAACGCATTTTTTTATTTAAAAAAAATTATATTTTCTGGGATTAAAAGACAAAGGTCGAACATTTGTTTTCACGAATTTAATCCAAGTTAATTATAGCAAGGCACTTGATTGATGACCTCTGAACCGGACATGGTACTTTTTGGAAATATTCCATACTTGCGCCTCAAAAAGTATTTTTTTGATGTGGATTAATTTCTCACTTAACTAGCACACTAAATTTAATCTGAATAAGAGAGGGTCAGGTATATGGGATCGTTGACTTCCTATGGATTGATCCAGGCAGGAGGGGGGGGGGAGGGGGGAGATGATTCCCCCCAGCATATTTGTCAACGCCCCATGTGTTAAGACATGTGCAAAAGTAGTTGTTCAGATTCTTTCGATATTTCGATATATTTCGATATTTCGATATTTCGATATTTCGATATATTTCGATATTTCGATATATTTCGATATTTCGATATATTTCGATATTTCGATATATTTCGATATTTCGATATATTTCGATATTTCGATATATTTCGATATTTCGATAAGGTATTTTTAATATTCCAGTAGTATTGGTGCAGGGCCGTCGATTTGACGCTTTTTCAGAATCGGATTATCGTTTCCAGTATGGTTGCATCGTAAGATTTGCTTCCAACCTAGACGATTTTCAATCCCGATTATGCTTTTTTAGTTCCTTTATTGAGATTTGAGAGAAGGAAGATAGCTTGCCACAAGGCGCTTGGGGTACGTATTCACCACAAACTTAGCTTAAAATTTACTGACTTCATGACCCGTTACCGAACCTATCGGCGGTTAATCGGAAACTGGTAAACACGAAGGACCTTCAAAAAGGTTCCACCCTAAAGAACTTCCAGTTGTAATGCAACATTCTTCTTTTTCACACAGGGTGGCAGACGTATTCTAAGTTCACTATTATCATCATACTTGGTGATGACAGTTTTCGTGAAAATTGTTGCGTTCAACGAAATTGTCTTTTGAAAGAAAAAGAACTGAAACGAGAGCGATGATGAATAGTCTGACCCTGGAGGAGCTTATCTCCTCGCAGATCTTGGCAGATCTTGGTGCGGAAGTTCAGCATAAAACTGTCCCTTCAGTTTCAAAGATCTATTGGAGGATCGACACCTTCAAGGTGAGAAATTTTATCATTGCCTTCGTCTCAAATAAAAAAAAAATCTTAGGTGGCACATAAATGTTAACATACGAATATTGTCCACTTCTAAACATGATAAAAATTTGTCAGTGAACTTTGGAGACGCACCGTCTCATGCGGAAAGGAAAAACGGCGTAATACATCTGGTGGTTCAATGAGACAAACATTTTTTTTAACGCCCCCTTTATTTATCATACGGTCACCTTGACGAACTTGATAGCGTTTGAATGGAAATATCTTAAGAAATTGGCAATCACTTTTTTTTTTCGTCTTAAGTAGTTCCGAAGACATGGAAAATTTTAGGCAACTATTGGCAATTATGGAGAACATTTACTAGATGAAATTTCCACTTGCACCAGAGGTATCGTATTTCGTGCCAAGTGTTGATAACGAATTCAGTTCGAATATTCGAAATTGCCTGCGTACTACAGGGGTTGTAAAAATACTCCTCAAAATTCTCCTCATTGCCCTAGTATTTTATCAGTGGTGGCGATTCGCTTATCCAAGTGATGAGTTTGATATTAAAATTCGTTCTTGTTGCTGTCCGTGCCTTAGGATCGCTACGAAAAGGCAGGAAGATTTCGTCTGAAGGACGAAATGTCCTTTGTCCTTCGCACTAACAACCACGAATAAAAGGATAAATATGTGTTATTTTCACGGATTACGGTGTAAGTCTTATGTTGACAGTCACTCGGTACGAGGTTATCTTTCATCTTATCGGCAATGATCCGAAAAGATCCAGGACGCTGGATTAGGTGCAATAAAGAAACGGACATGTTTATTACATTGGTATGGTTATGAATTTCCTTCGGTGAAAAAAAAAAAAAAAACAGGAAGCGGCCCCTGCATTTTGAGGTGATGTTGAATCCCTCCCTTCCCGACATTCCTCATCGCCATTCAGGCCAGATCTACGTTTCCTACCCTAAATTCCTTCATCGCTTACATCTTCGTCGGTATTCATTTACACACCCTCACACCTATTAGCGTAATCGAATGCAGAATTTAAGATACAGAAGATCCGTTAGGTATCCCTTGCAGGGATCGTGCACCTAGCGATATTGCATCGCGGCATTCCTACTCCAGAGGCCATAATATCTTCTATCAAAACGTCCCTTGCAGAATGGGTTTCACTCTGCACAGTCGTCGATATGCAACGCAACACAGAAAATTCTAAAGTGGTACACACTCTTTGGCACGAATTACGACAGGTGCTCAGTGTCCACCGTTCAGGATTGAGCAGGGACTTTACGAATCGACAGTCACCAACGGATTGACAAGTGATGCCGTTTCGGTTCAACCGTCCAGACGATCCCACTCGTGATAAAAGCGGCACCACAGCTACACCCACGCAGTCCACCGGCTATTTCCGATGTGGCCGGGGGTTCTGTTACTGTCGGCAAGGGACGCATGATTATGTATGAGTCTCGAGTGCTCTGCACAGTACCTTGGATCGCCCGGGAGGCAGGGAATTTGCATTATGCGTGTCTGGAAAGCATCAACACAACATAAGTGTGCAATGGAGTCCCTGCACAGGGTGACTATCTCCTTCGAGTCCTTCAAGGAATTCAATAATTTAAAAAACCATATCCATATGTTGGGTGGCATATCGATAGCCATCGAGAATGAGAAACATGACCCAACATCATCACAGGAAGGCTTGGTCAATGTTGCTTACCCTATTTCATCACGATAATCAGACGTATGAACCCCGTGGTTACAGCACTGAATGAAACCGGGATACATCTAGAATCACACCTCGTTCGTATCGATTTATTTGGAACAGAAACTCCTCCGAGACTCAGGGAACAAGACGGGACGAATCTCAGATCACATTCCTTCACGAGTCTCTCCACACGGCAAGGAAACCAAAAATAAAATACAAAATTCAAATCAAAGAACTAAAACCATGGGCACTCACCGACCCCGTCTAGCTCTAAACTAAAAACAACATAGATCCTCAAAATGATCAATAGTGTACAAGAAGATATGTATGTGGGCTTCTTGGGTGTTTCCAATCTCAATTTTTTTGTGTGACTCGAGAAAAAGAAGTGGGAGGCTAAGAGAAAAACGAGGTAGCAATGGTATTTCTAGATTTTTTCCTTGTCACTGAGCAAATACTCATTCACCAGGTTCAAAGTCCTACTTTCTCCAAGCACTATACTCAGGTACTCGTGGGAAGGCACGGGAGGAGGCACGGAAGACAAAAAATACCTGTACGTGGAGATGGAATGTACTCGTTATCTTCTACGATTCAAGACAGAAGGGAATAAATAAACAAAAAGGACACGATCGTGGAGGGAGGAACACGAATGGAAGCACCAATTTTCTCTCTTTCATAGAGGAGGGAATACAGAAGGAAGGGATTCGGTTCCCCTCGACATTTTTGTTTTTACAACACATAATCCTCATAACTTACGAGAAGAGAAACAAGGCGAATGACAAGAGATTCTCTCTAAATAAGAGGAGAGAGTGAAAAGAGAAGTTATCACAATTTCTCTAAAATAATAAGGCAGAATCCTCGTTGCAACGATTCCACCCTCTGTCTCTTTTGTCCTTTCTTAGGGGGAAGAGGTGGAAGGGTGAAGGAGGAGGGAAAGGGAGGAAGGGAAAGGGTGGAAAGGAAAGGGGGGAAGGAAGGAAACTCTGGATCACAGGTCTCGGTCTCGATGGACGACGTCCTCGTCCATCGTCCTTCGTCGGCCGGCGAGACGGGGAGAGCCGATCAAGCATCCGGTTCTTCCCGCTGCGACCGTCGGGAAGTGGATTCGGATTCCACGGTCGTGGCCGCCGCTCCCCGTCCTCGTTCCCGCGTGGGGGAGGAGGAGGATCGCTGACCGGAACCGGAGGTCGTGATCTTGAGGGGGACGTAGCCGTCGTCCCTGAAGTACGGGTGGACTAGAGCCTCGGCAGCCGACACGCGCTGCTCAGGTACAAACTTCAGCATCCCCTGCAACGATGAAAAGAAAGAGTGCAGTCTCTTGCGAGAAATTCAATTTTAACACGGCTTTAACTTTCTACACTGACTGCATCCGATCGCTCGTCTTAGGTCATTCTACGATATGCACGCCCACTTAAACGCATGCCTAATTCTAGAACGGGGTACAGAAACTTAGCCAGCGAAAATGAATAATGACAGATGAAAGACACTCACAAGAAGAAATGGCGAGGTAGGGAGACAGGACATACACATGCATGTGTAGGGATGCAGGGATGAGAGAGTGAGCCAATGTTAGGATGAGATCAGGGGGTGATAACCACAGTAGTTCATGTCAAGTTCATCTCTTTCGGTAAGAGATTTCAGCCATTCTGGTTTAGCTGGTATAGTGGACCATTACATCACATCACCTCAAAATGTTCCTGCAGTTACACAGGAACATTCGAACATTGTGCCACATTTCCAGACTTCAGAAAATTTGCGCGTTGCATCAGACACCATGATTCCAGGAGGATGTCGAAGATATTTCACAAGGTACTGCTACTTTCTATAGTACTTCTGCACCCGAAGATATCAGAGCCACAACGGAATGAAAAATGTTGGTTTTCGACCAGAACTTCAAGAAAGTGCAAAGAGTCCTATTCCCACAAAACGATTATTTAAAAAATTAATTTCCCTGATTTATCAGTTTTTGAGAGTTGTTTCCACAGGTATGACCCTCAGTTGGGTGGGAATCTCCTCACTTCATCCCAGCGGGAAGAGGCAACTCGACAAGAATGGCTACTCCAGAAATGCACTACCTGCACATTGACCTTCACCATACCAAAGGGGATAGACAAGGGATTTGACGCACGATGAGGATTTCTGTCCCAAACACCACCATGCTATGCGGATTGATTTCTAATAACCCGGATCCCTTCCTCAGAATTTAAGCTTACTACCCAGTGAGTCATTTGGATCCCCCTCAGGCAGCTCTTGGAATCTCCAACTTATTGAGGTTTGTATGTTTGCATTTATACAAAAATATGGAATGTCAGAACTTGAGTTCTGTTACAGAATTGTGGCATAGATGGATGGAAGGGAAGGAGGGAGGGAGGGAAGGAGGGAAGGAGGGAGGGAGGGGATAGGGGGAGAGGGGGAATGAGGGGCGTCGACACCCCATAGCTGCGGTGACATATTTATCGCAATATAATGTTAAAATACTTTAACTAGTAAGGAGCTTCTGTATACCGTTTTCCTGAAACGACTCATTCTTTATTTCCGGGTGTCCCAAACCCTGAATCAGACTTCTGGGAAGACTACCTCCAAGTGACGATCAGCACGTTCTTCGCGAAAGGACCATGAGTCATGCTTAATACATCATACTACCAGGTACAAGAGGCTCTCAGCCCTTCGCTCTGGAATCCCAGCTATTCCTCCAAGATCCAAGTAGCCTCTAATCTCGAGAGCTCTGAAGCTACTAAACTAGGTGGGAATGAAATCTCCCTCGCCTCCCTGATACGTCTATACCCTCGAGCAGGAAATCCGTAATGGTGTGGCATTACGCAGAAGTGCCTCATATATCCCGATTCCTCCTTACCCCCGAGCGGCATCGACCAGAAAACATCAAGGGCCCGACGTTGCGCGGACACGCCTCGAGCACGCGGGAACGGATCGAGAAAGTACCGGTACCTGAAGGAGAGTGAGTCCCTGGGGGTCGATCTCGGGGACGAGCTCCGAGACCGGAGTGGGCGGAGAGACCGGAGTGGGGAAAGAACTCCACGGCAACGATACGTCTCGCGGCCAATCTTCCTCTCGAGGCTTCCCTATCACACTGCCTCGCAAAATAAAGAGAATATAATCACGTTATCCCTCATCTATCCTCGTTCGTGTCATCGTCGATAGAGCTCAAAACTTCTTCCTCTCATTCGATAACTCGTTTTTCGAAAACATAAATCACATCACAATCACTTCAATGCACTCTAAACTTTTCCACGGCGAAACTAACAAAGGAAAAGCAAAATTTACAGGGAATTGTTTATCATTATTCTTATTCTTAAAAAGTACTGGAATGGAAAATTGATTTTTAAAATGTTAAAAAAGAAATTATTCTATGCAAGACATAAGTGTTTGAATTCAATTAAAAGATCAAAATGTGCAACAAGACTGAATACCCATCTCAGCCTCCTCCTACTTACTAGAATTTCAGCAGAGTTGAAGGAAGAATACCAATAGTAACGATACTCTAGTGAGGGGTAAAGAGAACGTGGGAAGGAACCTGAAGATCTTGGAGAGCTGGTCGGCTTCAGACTGGCCAGGGAAGAGAGGTTTACGACGGAAGAGCTCGGCAAAGATGCAGCCGCACGACCACATGTCCACGGGCGAGGCGTAGGACGAGTTGAGGAGCACCTCGGGGGCGCGGTACCACAGCGTCACCACCTAGGAGGATCGCAGGAGTCGAGTTACTCGTTCCCCGTCGACGCCGAGGGAGACGGATCGCGAGAGCGAACGCGGGGACACACGTACGACGGACGTGAGCATCATGTGGAAGTCGTAGACGCGTGCCAGGCCGAAGTCGGCGAGCTTCAACTGGCCGGTCTCCGTGACCAGAAGGTTCTGCGGCTTCAGGTCTCGATGGATGATTCGATTCGAATGCAGGAAATCCACTCCGCACAGCGTCTGCCACATCAGGTCCTTCAAAAACAGAACGGCATGGAGAACTTACTCTTGGTGGGAGATCGACTCGGGTGGCGAACGGTTCGTGCATTTGTTTCTATTAGAATCCCTGCAACCTGGCCAGGGTCTTTTCTCCCCTGTATCTTTCTCCTTCCAAGCGATCAAGTTATGTTGGCAATTGTCCACTAGACAAACTTTTTTATGTTGCATCGGTATGCATGTTCGTGTGCCATGTAACCTATATCACCGAGCAGTCGTGTAAAAATGTTAAACAATATTCTCGATGAAAGTTTTTATCAGATAGACACACAAATGGCAGCATTCCTGTAAGCTCTCACAGAGAACGAGTGTTCCTCCGGGTAATTTTGTCTTACACGAAGCCTCGAAAGGTGTCAGCTCTCATTTTATCCTTTTACTCTTGAATCGAAAAACGTTCTCCACGTTATGAAAAGGAACTTGAGCCTCCTGCTGAAATGCATTTACATCGTCCTACCGGTCGCTTCCAGCGAACGCGGAGCAATTCTCCCCTTCCAAAAAGGAAAGGGCCTAATCTGTCCCTGTCTTCTCTCTTTTGCCATTATACTGCAATTTCAATTTAAATGGGTTGGATCCATCAAGCTTCCTTCCTCCTCATGTAAGAGAATCATCAGCCAGAATTTTTTGTGAAACTCAATGAAAAGAATGTTGAGGAAATGATAGGAGGGCCTTAGACCCACATGGAACCTAAATCCCCCAGGGACGCCGATCATTATCCGGTCATCAGCCACCGCATCCATCCAAAACAACATCTGTGAAGGAGATAGTGACTGCACGGTCTCGTCCAATCCCTCATGTGTCAGCAAACTCGGCGCGAAAACAGCCAGGGTTGGTCACTTCCAATCACTTGATGGCGTGCCAAGGAGCTCCAATCGTTGGGAATCTGTTCATCTGTTTACTAAGAGGCACCGCGTGGACTCGGTCCGTGCAATTCCAAATCGCACCGTAGGCGATAACCCGTCCCGATCGTCGAGAAAATTCGCGAAAGGACACAGGTTGGCAAGGTACAAGCTTAATTCGCATTTGGCTCATTTCTTCAAAACCAAGCTTTAATAGCGAATTCAAAATGCTCAAGCTTGCTCCTTGCTGAAACGGCAGCGGGAGGTCAGGAACGTCCCTGGATGAAGACGCACTCGGACCCGAGCTTCGGTCGGGATGTCGCCGACCGAAGTTCCCAGTTCCTTTTCCCATCCGTCAAGGCTCACTTACCCATTTTTGACTAGATAGGATCGAGTAAGAGCATGGCAACAGCGAGAGTTCCTATCCGAATGAGTGGCACGTTCCGCAACCCTAGGCATCGTTCGACCCATTCATCGGTGAAACCCTTCTTCAATCAGGTCAGGTCCAGTATAGGACTCGACTCACTCCATTTTTTATTTTTTTCTTAGCGACCCTCCTATTTGAAAAAAAAAGAGAAACCCTAGTCCAGTAGTGGGCTTCCTTAAATTAAAGATGGGCTTCATTCAACGAAACAGAATCAGTTTCCAAATCTCGAACGGCATTTCACTTCTCGATCAAGTTCATTTATTGCATCACCTTACATTCCATACTCAATACTCTACGCGATCGAAATGAGACTTTAAAAGATGAATTCTTCTGCCATCTATTGAGAGTTTCCTGGAACTTCGTACTGCTCAGTGGTCCCCTTAACCTCCCCCTTTTGAAGAAACCCTGGCTAAGCCCCTGGTACTGCAGTAGAATAATAATAATAATAATAAAACTCAGCACAGGGGCTGGCATTGCCTGCATAAAACTCAGCATTTAGAAGGCTAATTTTAGGGTTGTAGTCGATTACAAATTGTCTTAGTTCCCCTTTCGGCTGATAGGTCACAAGGAGCGATTCCGAAAACGTTCAATATTTATTGCTTGCTCTCGCTGCACTTCTTGGAGTAGAAAAAAAAAAACTTGGGATGAAAAATACCATGGGATGGTGATCTGAGCAGCAATCGATGCATCGCTCGTACGGATGGATAAGGCGGTTCCCTGCTTCGTTTTAACCCTTAGTACAATGGAAGGACATCCGACGCCTATCAGTCACGAGGTTAAGTTTTCCTTGCGGTCGGATATGAATACCAGAGATAGAACAGAAGTGGGGTTCGCTTCTTTGTCTTCGAAAAGAGGGGGCTTTCATCGTAATATCCTCAAGGCCGATGTGGACCATGCAGAAACTCACGGTCGGACAAAGGGTCGAGAACTCGAGTGATAGCTTTCACATTTTCCATTCCCCGGAGCCGGTCTAATAAAAATATTCAGCACGAATTCCCGTCCTTTGTCGTGTTACGGGCAATTACAGGCAAATAAGTGCATTTCCTCCCGGCGAGCCCGTTCTCCGAGTGGACGACACGACCACGGGCCATTTAGAGACAAAATGGCGTTTAGACCAAAGGGCGATAAGACCGAACGTCCTTCCCGCCTTTTTTCCTGTCGGGCCATGAATCCCCGCGCACTTCTCGCCATCTGCCCCCTCGTCTGTCGACGAAACGACGCACACCCGCAGTGGTAGCTTCATTCGTCGGTTGTCAAAAGTGGATCCGTCGGGCTGGAAGGTAATCGATCCTCGAAACGAAGAACGAGGCGAGGATCTGGGTGCTGCTGACTTGGCGACGGTCGCGATTCGTTTTAACGCGAGATTCAACGATATTCGTGGTCGTCGATATCTTCACTCCAAGAATCAAACTTTAGCTTCGGATTTCGCGATAGAAACGCTGGTTTTGGTAGGAATTTCGCCAAGAACGTCAGCTTGTTAACTGCCTGTGCGTGTCGCCAAACTAAGGAAGAAGTGGTCGTTTTTTAAATAGATATCGTCAAATGAGTAAAGGGAGTTCTCAGACTGACATCTTTCCAGGTCTCACCACGAAGCTTTCATAGTCGTTTCCATGTTCAAAATTCTTCGAATTTTTACTGGAACTCAAAAATGTGGTCAACGTTTCATCCATTTGGCCCCGAGAACGCTCGAAAAAGCAAATGCATTGCAAAATTCGTGAAACTTGTAAACTCTCGAGTGTGAAAAAGGTGCGCTTTCTTTTCGCATTCCTCTCCCTTCATTACTTCTCTCTTCTCCATGTCTAATCCTTTTGCATCTATAATCCTCGACCGAGAGGCGAATTAATGCGAGAGGCAGAAAAGAGCCTCACCTTGATGCGATCGGGTCCGAGCCCGGGAGGGGGGCATCTTTCCATGTACTGAAAGAGATCCTGCTCTACGTGCTCGAACACGAGGATCAAGATCAGCTGCTTCTCCTGCTCCAATCTCCTCCCGTGACAGATATCCAACAACCTGCGAGAGAGGAAGAAAAGAAAATCATAATAATAATACCGATAATCTCCGAAGGTTCGTTCATCCCTCGCCCATGTGAATTGTCAAGCGAGATTCCCCTCCCCTCCTGACTCGGCTTTTCTTTTTTCTTCCTCTTCTCCTCTCTCGTGGCGCTGCTCATTTCCACCTGTATAGAGGCGGCTTCTCTTTTTTATTACTTCCCTTCCCCCCCTTGGAATAACAATGAGAGGAGAGGGGGCAAGGCGAGTCATGCTCCTTCGATCCGAGCGGACGAGACAAAGACAGGAAGAGCGCAAGTACTTCGCAGATCAAGGTCGACCGAGAAGTCGGGCACATCTGTGAATGAAGCAATGAATGGATGCGAGAGAGGAAGAGATAGAGCGCAGGGATATCCGTTTTCCCACGCTCCCGTTCATTGAGACAGAAGAGACCAAGGTCGGAGGACTTCTCGCGTTTCCTTCCGCTCATTCTTCTCTCTTTTTCGTCCTCTCACAAGGACGAAGGCTGGGGCAGACGACGCGTTAGAAACACGAGAACACGAAGGGCGAAGCGAAAAAAAGAAAGAACCCTTTTCCAACTTTTTTTTTGTTGTGGCGTGGAATGGGAATGCGAGGAGCGTTGACCCATTGCGCCTACGGTCAACTGCATCGTGTGTGTGTGATTTTTTTCCCCCTCCGCAGTGAATGCACTACCCCTTTTTTTTTTCCTCTCTCTCTCTCTCTCTCTCTCTCTCTCCGGCGTATTATTACATCTCTTTGGAGCAGACTCGCCTGGAAGGGAAGGGTAGTGTTTAATCAGGGAACCCCCGCCACGGCCTTTTTTGTAGTCCCATCTTAATTTGGCGCCGACAGAAAGGCTCCAAGGATTCATCGAAGCACCATCGAACGCGACACCTCGCCGCACGGAACAGGACGAGACTGGAAGAAATTCCGACCGAACGCGAGTAGACAGGACCGACGGAGAGGAGAATCGCGAAATTAACGCTCCCGTAAAATTGGTATTAAAGGAAGGAAGGCACAAAAAAGAGGCATATTTGAGACGGTGGGGATGGAAGGGTGCGGCGGCGAACAAAAAAACAGGGACACGAAGGACCCCGGGCCCAAAGGAGTGAGAGAATCCCTCGGGGCATCAACCCCTCTCTTTTTATTCCCTCCCGATTCATCCCTGTCTCTTGTGTGTTTCTTTCCTACACGAATGCGTCATGGGTGTGGGGAAGGGGGAAGGTCGAGCGCCCTCAGGTGAAGGGAAAAAAACCAATGGGACGGGGGGGGGAGGGAGACGGTGAAAAAAAAGGCAATGAATTTCCCCGGCCGAGAGGGGGAGAAACATCATGGACACACTTCTCCACATTTCGGGGGGGAAAGAAAGAAAGGGAGAAGAAAAAAAAAGAGAGGAAGGTTGGAAACTTTTCTCAGATCGCCGAAGGGCACGTTCATGTCTCCTCCCAACGCAGAGAAGGGAAACGGAGAAAATCCTCTTTCTTCCTTTTTTCCTTCGGACCAAAAAAGTAAAAAGGGACGAAAGAATCTCTCTGATCGATGCCTGAGAACAGAGATGAAATTCGATGGGATGAAAAAGCCAGAAGCTATTACTGTGCTCGCATCGGACCACAAGATAAGAGGACTGGAGGAATGTAAAGAAAAAAAGAGGAAGGGGTGAATATCCTCTTCCTCTACCGCGAATGGAATCCCAAACATTTTCTCTCTGTACTCTCGATCTAACATGATCCGCCACTCGAATGCAAGGCATGTCCACGCCTGCATTCGTTTACATCGACGTGTAATGATATCGTTTACGGAATTACTGCAATCGTAACCGAATTCCTTGCTTTGTGTCCAGAGATAGAGGTCCCTTAGCGGAAATGCCCAACAGAATCCTCATCGCTCTCTCACGGGCACCGGAAACGGCGTGGGAAAGGTCTCTTCTGGGACATAAACATGACCCAGACTCCCGAACCCTTTTCTCAGAGTCAGAGCCAGACAGACAGACAGACAGACAAGCAGATCAGATGAGAGCGAAAGATCGGAGAAGAGGCTCGAGGGAGCCAGACAATGGCTTGTATGGAATGCATGCAACTCCCTCCCCTCCTCGTCCCTGGGGGCCCTGTTTCAGCAAAGAATCCTTCTAATACTTGTAATGAGACTGGAAGGGGTAAAGAGGGCATTGCCTAGCCATTCCCATTCCATTCCGAGCGATCCATGCGGGTCAAGGTCGTGCGAGGTCGTCACTTCCAAACAGCAAAAAAAGAATGAAATATTGTCCCTATTTGCTTTTCAGTGCAGGAGCCGTTGTTACACAGACATCAGCTGACGCATGTAAACATTCGAACATTCGAGATAGTGAACAGGTCTACGATCTCAACATTGAACATTATCACACAAAGAGAACGACGGCACACATTTCGCATGGCCCCATTCATAAAAACCGGAAACTGATGAAAAAAGAAGGCAGGAAATTGAGAATTACCAAGCTTGGGGGCATTAAGGCCAGCTGCTTAGCATGACCCCTGGGCCATGAGAAAAGGAAAAGGGAGAGCCAGGGGGGAAAAAAGAAAAAAGAGTGGGAATGAAGCAAGAGCAGCTGCTCCGAGAACGAGAAGGAGATGCGACAGCTGCAATGCAGCAGAGCAAAGAGGGCAGCTGCATCTCCACGGCCACGTGCCATCGACTGACACCGACTCCAAGGTTCCCCCCTGCCCCGTACCACGTGCTCACCTGACGACGTTGGGATGCTCGAAGGCTTCGAGCTGCCTGAGAAGGGCGATTTCCCTCATCGTGGACATGGGGATCCCGTCTTCCGTCAACGGGACTCGAACCTTCTTCAGTGCCACGATCTGGCTCGGGTTCGTCCGATCCCGGGCCTTGTACACCGTCCCGTACGCCCCTGAAACACGGACCGATCCGTTCGTATAGATCTGGAAGGAGGGAAGAAGGGTCGAAAGAAGGAGTAGGAACGGACCATTGCCGATCACATCCAGTTCTTCGTATATGGATGAATCCCGGAAGAGATCCGCCTCCGTCGTGGGGGTGAGAGGAAGGGGGATGTGGGTCGACCCTCCACCCCCCTCCGCTCCCTTTCCTCCTCCTTTTCCTCCTCGCGCACCTGGCATCCTCTGCAATTCAATTCAATAGTCTTCGATGAGGGACAGTAATTAGATCAAATTGTGGAAACGAAGAGGTCGATGGGTCGGTGGTTCCAGAGCGTGCGAACGACAGCGAACGGAACTTCAGACTTGACGACTAAATAAAGTCGGGTGATGAAAGGTCATAAAAAATAATAATGGAGAAGAAAGAAAGTATGGGGGTTTGGGACCGAGATATGGCGAAGGGATATGGCGAAATCTAGGGTCCGAGATATGGCGAAGGGCGCTTCAAAAAAAGACAGAGAAAAGAGCATGGAATGCGAGTGTATAATAGGAAAATGCGTCTACATGTGCGGGGGGTGTCGGGGGAGTTTGTGAGAAGAGGGCATTTTCGCCCGAAGGGGAATCCGAGAGGAAACAACAATGGACAGAAGCACGCAGGGTCACTTGCCCCCTCGCTTCCGGTTATTAACGTGGCATGGCATCTCCTTTCCCGTCCTTACGGCATATTCCGGATCCAATTTTCATAGCTCGGCCTGGGAAGAACTCGCTGCTTCTCGGAACTACCCTATTGACACGGCAGCGTGGGAAAGGGGAAGGGAGGGGAGGGGAGAAGCACGCCCGGAATGCATCAAAAACCTCCTTTCGGAGAACGCCAAAGAAAGGAAAAAAAAATAACCCCCGACCAGACGGAGATGACATCAGAATAACGGTTCCGGGGAAACCGTGATACGAGACATTCTTGAATCGGTTATTGACTCCTCGTGCATCGTCATTCGTCAGCTGAGCAAGGACACATCGTGACTCTTCTCTTTCCGCATCCACAAATATGATTTTATCCCAAAACGCGAAAAACCGAAGGCGAAACGGGGGAAACCGCGAGAAGCTGGAAACTCTGTCTCGCGGAAGATGGATGAGGGATTGATGAAATAAAAAATGGCGGTCCGAGTCCCGTAAAGAAGCGGTGAACGGCCAGGCACGTGCTGAGCCTAAACGACGACGACAATGACAGAAAAGCGACCGAGGACAAAAATCCCCCCAGAGCCGTTCCGTCCGCTCTGTCACGGTCTCTGCACTTCCCCGCCCGGGGTGTCGGGGAATTTCGGATCACCGGGACCCGGTGCCGATGTCCCAAGGGGAAGGGAAAGGAAAAAAAAAAATTTCAGGATTTATACGGATAGTGAGGGGGAGACCCTGGGTGGTGGTCAGTCAACCGCTTCGTCTTGGAACCGAGACAGGTTCCATCAATAACTACCGAGAGCCAGTTCTATCATCCGGAATGTTGTCCTCCGTTCGCATTCCCAACATTCCTTCTCCCCGTCCTTCTTAAACCGTTTCCCCCTCTATTTCCGACACGTAATTGCCTTTCCCTCCGTCTACTTGTTTATTTTACCCATCCCAGCCCGCCCGCGCGACAGTGACTGTCGCTCGTCGCATCGTCGTCGAGTTTCACCTAACGAATCTTCCGTTTCCGCCGACGCACCGGCGGAAATCGGCATCGAAGTCACCTGGACGATCGACGCCCGATCCGTCGGCAACGTTTATGGGAGGAGGAAGTTTACTCATCGAGCGGGCCAACCAGATAGGCGTCAGCATTTCCGGCCGCACTCGTAGGTCTATTTCGTAGGCTTAAAGAGGAAGGGTGGACCGAAAGCACTGACCTGAAGACGATCGCCGACGAGATCGCGACTTCACGTGGCCATGTCACCGAAATCGGAGGAGATCCAGACGGTATTCGGACGCGACGAAGCGGCAGGATGTCGGCGAGACGAAAAGGGACAAAGAATGCGGGAGCGAGAGGGATATGCGAACGGGAGGAAGGTCAGACTCCGACTGAGAGGGGGAGCCCCGCTAGCCGGGCGGTAGGCACGTCACTAGGCGATACCCTCTGGCCTCTGCCTCTGCCTCGGCCCCTCCGCTCGGTCTCGGTAGTGTGTCACCCGCGACTCGCCCGTCTGCGTCGAGGGACACCGAGCGACTCCGCGTGCGATGCCCCACCGACGGAGGGAGGGAAAGCCTCTTCGGTTCGGGGGTCGGTGAGGAAAAAGAGAAACGAGGCCGGTCCACGTAGAACGATCGGCGTCGGTAAACAGAAGGGCCTTGTCACAACACGGAGTCTCGCGCGCGATCGCAACTATGACGACCGACCCTCGTTCGACCACCGATCTCGTTTTTCTCCGTCTTTCTCTCTCTCTTCTTTTTTTCCCTCTCTCGCTCTTCTCTCTCTCACTCTTCTCTCTCTCTCCTCCCCTACTCGGTCGGTGCGGATTCGGGAACGCGATGCGTTTGAATGCGATCCCGATCCGAGGAGACCGACAACCACGGGAACGGATCCGTCCACGAAGACGCAGGAAACGAGGGAAGACGCTAATAGGTGTGCCGACCTCGACCTCTAGTCTCACTGACAACCTCGTCACGTGCGACCGAGAGGGACGAGTACTGGAACGAGTGGAAGGTGGAAGCTACGAGAACCCGTTTTGCGAATGCGCGACATCTTCCCCTTCGCGGCCCAGACCGAGCTCCATCGACGTTCCGGCAGATGTCGCAAGAAAACGAGTCCTCGCTCGTTTCGGCCTGCCTTTTGCGCCGCAAGGAACACCCATGCGCACCCAGACTGGATTCTACGTTCTAATTTCGCAGGCAGCGTTGTTTCGCGCGCTTTTTTTTTCTCTTCCTACGATTCGTGACGGAACCTGGGGAATTGCTCAGCGGCCTCGTACAAAAACTCCCTCGATTACTGCGGGATGGGTTTCATGCTTTTTATGTTGTCATCGTGATCCATTTTCGACCCACTGCTGGATGAAGGTATGAAGGCTTGAAGGCACGACGGTCTATGAGGGCCTATGAGGGACTATGAGGATCCATGAGGGTCTACCCCGCTTGACTCGTATCAGACCGATCCCGCGCTTCACTCTAATTAGCTTATTTCTACGAGTGATTTTCTGTTGTCGCCAGATTCTATTTGCCCCTCTGATTTTTTTTTTTGGCCCACGAGGCATGAGTGTCCCAACCCACTTCCATTCGTCTTCTCGAATCCAGGCATTCCTTATCCTGTCATACCCCCCCCCTAGAAAAATGCAAAATTATTCTCCTATTGACTCAACTGGAGGATCTCGCAGGGCAATGGGGTGGAATTGATGAAAAGGGTTGAAGGGGTGGAATGGGTGAAGGGGTGAAAAGGGTAGGAGTGGAAAGGATGGAAGGGCTTGGACGCGGGGGGGGGGGGGGGGGGGGCATGTACAGTATATAAGCTGTCACTCGACGGTGGAGTGGGGGTGGCCGAGGGGTGTTTATACCTCATCCTGACCGTCAAACCATCTGTCACGTCTGACCATAATGCATAGAATATTTCCAATGCAAAAGTCGACATTCTTTACGGCAATCTTACCTATGGCTGGAAGAGGGAGTTGGGGGCAGGGGACCTCCTTGGCCTTCGGTAACCACCCGAAGCCTGTGTTTGGGCGTGGATGAATCTGCGACCGTTATCGTCGATGAACCTGGACTCCAGTGAAGCGGACCCCCTTGCCCCCTCGCCCCCTTGCCCCCCCGCTCCCTCGCCCCCTCGCCCACCCTTCGGCGTACTTCTCTTCGGGTCATGCTCCGCGTGCAACTCTCCATTCCTCTCGATGCTCCAATTTTCTTTCCACTTTTTCGTTAGGAATCGGCGTCTGCCATCGCTGCAGGCGGGACGGACCGGTCGAAGCATCGAGCACGGAGCAACCGTTTCGCTCGTTCGACGGTCCCTACAAGAAAGCCTCGAACCGGTCCGGTTCTCGAACGGAGCCGTACGGCCCTGCGTGCAAAAGAAGCAGAAGAAAGAGTTCGGACGCGGAGACGCGATCCTCGATCCATCTGAATGGGTAAGGGGTCGGTCGGGTGTGTCATCGGTCTTCGTCGGTCCTCCAAGGCCAGGCAAGGATACAGTGGACCTTAAACCTCAAAGTTTTCTTCAACCACTTCAGGCACTTTAAAAATCGATGTTCTACTGCAGTGATCGAGCCTTTTCTCAGATACGGGAACGAGTGGAATCAACGGTCGAGTGCGAAGCGTGCGACTCGCTCAAAATAGTTAACGACGCCATTCCGCGACTTTTAAACCCCAATTATTCCCCGATCGACCGTCTACGGGAGCACGATCGCTCGCGATCGGGCGAGGAAATCACCGACGGGTGAGGATTCCGGTGCAGAGCCAAGAATTTTCCAAGAGGGACGTGTCGGCCGAGAGCAAGAGCCGAAAGGTTTCTCCTCGACGGATGAGACTTCGAGAAACGAAGCTTTCCTCGGGGGTTTCCACGGGGGTCACCTCGAAAACGGTGGAGTGCCTGCCGACGATTCCCTTTCCTTCCGTGGAGAGAGAATGGCTCGGAAGGGATTCTCTCTCCCGATCTCTGGCACCGTCGGTTCATCCATTTCCGTCGGTTCATCCAGTTCCGTCGTTATCGGAGAGTTATCGTCGTCGTCCTCCCGTCTCTCTCTTCCCTCGGAGAAAAATGCACCGATCGGCAGACTTAAATTCATCCCCTCGCCGTTCAAAGTCCCGTCTGATGAGCTCAGGTCTCTAAATGAATCTCTAGGAAGCATGGTCTCTTCCACGAGGTCGCGTCCATGGACTATCTCAAGTTCTTGGACGATCTGGAATCGCAACACGATCGCCGAGTTCGGATTGGAAGGCGGTCGGAAGGCTGCCAGAAGGCGGCCGGAAGGCTTCCGAGCGTGGGCATGTTGGAATTCAGCGCCATCAATTGCAGTTTTCCAGCGACTCTAGAACTCGTACCGACTCGACGAATCTGAATCCATGGGTAAGATAAGGCGGGGGTGGCTTTATCTTACCGATGGATTCCTTGAAGACATGCCCGAAAATGTAAAGATGAATACTAGGGCTGTCGACTTTAATCTCAATTTAAAAAATGAAACGAAGTTGATATAATTTGAAGCGACCCTGAAATCTCTCCGCGAATGCTTCTTTTTTGTCATTATGGCATATTCTCGGTTCGACCGGGTATATAAAAAAAAAGCTTTGGGTGACCG